CTGTGGGTCACTCACTTATCCGCCGTGAAGCTATGTGCCCAGGCTTCTGAAGGAGTGGGACAAGTGTGGAGGATTTCCATCCCATCTCTTCCCTGTCTCTCCTGCTAGTTTTTTCCCCTTTAGCATTGTCTTCTTACCTATCTATCACTCCAGCTGCAAAGCAACCAGCCCTGCCTACATGACCTGCACCAGGAGAGAAAGGATGGATCTTCCTCTTATTGTTCGAAGCAGAGACCTGGTGGCCAGGAGGGCAGGGCCAGTAGTCCCTACCACTCCACGAGGTAGTGATGATGCATTTGAAATTGGTTGGCTAGCAGCCAACAACTGCTGGCCCTCATTTGGCCCCCAAAAGTGAAGTCAAAAGGTTTATATAAGCCAGGACTGCCCAGGAGGTGAGGCAGAGCAGCCATGATCAAGATTCACACAGCAGCTGAAACATCTGTAGCTCTCTCCCTCAAGATGCTCAAGTGAGTAAACTGCTGAAAACTACCTAGATATATAGCTTGCAGTAAAGGAGATGTGTGATCAAAGGCTACCTAGCCACGCTGCTTGCTCTAAGGTTATTCTGCAAAACTTATCTAACCTGCACCCTTCTCCAAGCCTTCCCTCTTTAACCAGTAAAGTTCTCCACTGTGTATAGGGCGGTGGACTGGCTGGGAGAGGGACTGGGTTAAGCCTTGGTGCCCCCTCGGTCTGGCTGACTAAGAGAGGCTAAAGGAAGCACCCCAAGTTTTCTCCGTGGGTCAAGCACTTTCAAGTTCTATGATGTTCAGTCAGGGCTGATCCTGCCTTGAGTAGAGGCTGGACTAGCTGTGACACTGGGAGGTCCCTTCCAGCCCTCCTTTCCTATGATCCTCTGTTCTTTGCTGACCCTTTCCCTTTGGGCATAGTGAATTGCTAAGACAGCATTCAGTCAGGGCTAAAAATGGTCAATTTGGCCTCTGCAAATGCCTGACTTCCCTTTCTAGCTTGTGTTTCAGTAAGTGAGATGGCTAATGAGCGCCAGCTGATCCCTTCCAGATAAGCGAGCTTGAGGAAACATCATCACAGGAAAACCAGAGCAGACCACTAAGTGTGTCACTAGACAAATATATAACCTACAGCAATGCAATGCATACACTCGGACTGGCCACAAAGGCAGGTGTGGCACAGCCATGACTGTTAGCCTGAGGTGGTTTAAAATCAGAGGTGGGAGGTAGAACACAGTGCCTGTTTCTTCTTTCATCCTTAACATAGCAATTAAAATGCACAAATCAATAGAGTTACCACCCCTGCAGCCAGATCACAATACTGGCAAGTGGCTGTAGCTCAGGCTGGAACTAGAGTGGCTTCCACCAGCTACCGCATGGCTGATGGACTTGAATTGACTTGTATCAGCTAAAGATCTACTCTACAGTTGAAGTGGAAGTGGGGAACATAAATTATCTTTCCTATTTAACTAGTTAACTAGTTTCCAGTTCACTAAGGAAATATAAGCAAAACCACTGCAGCTCCTGATTCCTTTGCTGGAAGTCTTTGAAATAAGAGAGACTTTGAACTATAGTTTGAATGAAAAAAATTCAATGGGAGTGAAAGAGGCACCAGAGATGAATAGCTGCAAGGTGACTAAAAGGAGTCTACCCAGCCAGAGACAAGCGCAAGCCTTCACACATAGGTCTGAAATGCTTCTGTGTCATGGTTAGATCCTTAGCAAATTTCTCCCATCCACATCAACACGCGGGACAGGATATCAATATACTTGTCCCTAACTATAGCATGGAAGTTTTAGCAATGGCAAAGTTGTGTTATCAAGTCCCTGTTCTACAGTGAAGCAGGAAAAGGAGGCTTAATTGGAAATGTGCTGGTAATGATTGGAATTTGCTAAAAAAAAAAAAAACAACCCAAAAAGAACAAAAATCTTCTCCTGCCTCCACACCAGAATGTTGGAGAAATGTTTTTGATTATTGAAGGAAGATGCAAGTTCTGTGAACTAATGCTTAAAACTAGCTTTGGAAAAAATTAAGTTTTAAAACCAGAAAACACTGAGATGTGTATTATGCAGAGCTGAAGGGAAAAAGAAGGTTGGGGGAGGTGAATTGAAATGAAGAAACAGAAAAACTTAACCACAAAGCAAACGAGGACCCATCAGAAACGAAGAAAAAGAAAGAGCACTAGACTCCACAACAGAGTCATCAGCATTCCCAGATCTTACACCTGCACCTCCAGAAATGTAATAGATCTCATCCAATGCACCAAATGCAATAATGGAAAATACCTAGGAGAGACCAAACAACAACTGCTCACCAGAATGAATGCACACTGGAAATCTATCAGAGACAGGAATACCAATTACCTGTGGGGGCACATTTACCTCACAAAAAAAAACACTCTCCAATCTCTCAGTTCTAATCCTCAAAGGAAAATTGCAAAACACTTTCCAGAGACGAGCCTATGAACTCCACTTCATCAACCTCCTGGATACTAAAAATCATGGGCTAGATATAGACCTTGAATTTTAGACACATCATAACCAACCTGACATCTGACTCCCCAGGTACCCCTCCACTATTAATCCCCCTTCAGTCCCCCGGACCCAGCCTGTCTCGGGTTTTTGAACCCAAAAGCTTGCTTAAAATTGTTTTTTCCAACTACTTAAGTTGGTCTAATAAGGTTCTTTGGATGAATCTGATATCTTTTGTCAGCCCAAGACTCCTGGGGACATTGATGTGCGCTCACAGAGCCCTGCTGGTGGAAGATAAGTATCTGTCTCTATGTGTATTTTAGGGGGCTGAATGTCTCTTTAAGTTAAGATTCATGAATAAGTAATGTTAAAGACCCCTTTCACCATCGTCCCCACCTAGATCAGGGGTCTCAGCACTGCCCCTCCACTAGCTGCCCCCAAGTGTGTTACCTCTCTGCTCTTTCCACTCTCAGCAGGAGGAAATGCAGGTGGCTGCACACTGCGATGTGCAAGACTCTGGTACTGCACTGCTCATGTCACAGGGTTTTGTTACCCCTGGCAGGGGGCAGAAATGAAACTGTTTGACCTGGGGGTCTGACAGAAGACATTAAACTCTCAGACATATAGGAGTTGTCATCAGTATGCTTCCACACCTCTCTGGTATTATGGCTTGTCTATGAAATCTATGAAATCTATGAAAAGAGGCACCTTCTGCCCAGCCAGCTTGTCTCAAGGAGGATGAATAAAAGGAGATACCTCATTCAGGTATCAAGAATGAGTGCATGCACATGCACACAGCTGCTTCCGAGGCTGTTTCATGCATCTGAACTGCCTGACAACTGTAGTGTACCAAGTGGATGAGCAGGGCAGGAGCCCAGTTCACCTGGTCTCGTAGCCCAGCGTAGCTGTTTCAATGAGCCCTGGAATGAAATACAGCAGGAGACCTGGCTGCACCCTCAGCAACTTCCAAACAGGTTCAGTGTGAGAGTCGTAGGGTACGGTTCAGTGATGTGGAGGAGAGAAGGCCTGTGAGGACAGAGTCCATGCAGTGGGTTCCAGGGTACGGCTGCAGCGCACTGCCTGTTATAGCCCCAGGCCAGGTCACTTTGCATCAGGTCGGCAGACCACAAGTCAGGATCTGGGATGCACAAGGATGCTAGTTAGGCATAGAGAAGTCTTTGGTTACTCCACTTCCATACCACAGCAGCTGGAAATACAAGCTCCTGGCTGAGCTGGAGCATCTGTGTCTGTTGGCACAATCTACCAGTCAGCAAAGGGGATCACATTGGACTGCAGCCTGACAATGGGCAGGCATTTACACCACAGCCCTTCAAGGGGAAACATGATGCCTTCCCCTCTCCTTGGCAGAGTCTCTCAAGCTACCTATTCAGGAGCAGTCTTCTCTCTGTCTCATTCCTGCACCTTTTCAACCCTGAAGAAAGGCAGGACTTGTTTGAGGTCAGTGGGAGGAGTCTGCTCTGTGCTAGCTGCACAACAGGTATTTCTGTCTGATGCACTGCAGGTTGTCTCATGCTGTCATGCCACCATGTTCACATTGGTTCTGTGTTACAAAACCCTCTTATGCCCTTTCCCATGGCACGATGCAAAGTTGCTTGAACCAGTCTCCAGCTGCAACTTTGCCTCAGTTTCCACTCCAACTCATTTCTTTTTACACCAGTGATTCTCAACCTAGAGACCGAAGTACCCAGGGGTGCCCTTCAGGGATGCTGCAGAGGGGAACCCATGCACTTTGTCAGGTGTGCAAGCATGATTTCCACAAGAAATCCAGAGATTTCAGGTAGGAATCTCGGTATTAAAAGCTTTCTGATCGGTGGGGTCTGCACTCTACAGCACAAGAACTACCCTGGCATGAGCGATTGGTTCCCCAAGCTGCCGATTACTGACTGGGGGGAAACCAGTTTCATGGCTGGCGCTTCCGGGAAGTGCATGGTGGATCTCAGAGTGTGCACATGCAACTGCATGCACACCTTATGCATCGCCATCGTACCCTGGTAATTTTCTACAGTCAAAATATCAAGTGAAAGCAAAGCACTGACATTCTCCAAAGGGGACCTGGGTCTACGAAGGTTAGAAAACCACTGATTTAGGCTGTCCGCTCTGTAAAGAGCAGGGTGATCTTAGTGCATGTTGGTACACCGCTAAGCACGAGGCAACCCTCAGCTCAGGGGGGTGCACCCTCAGAGCTGGATGCAGCAGTGGCCAAGAGGCCGTGAAGCCAACAACAGACTGTGGGACAGGGCTGCCGTGGCCTTCTTTGCTGTGTGGGTCGGGCCTCCGCCTGGGGGCTGCTGAGTGCATTTTCAGGACCCCCTTGGCCGTAATGGCTTGGGACAGAGTCAGATGCTGCTTGGACACCACAGGCCCCGACAGAGGCCGAGGTGGGGGACAGGACCGGGCCCAGGGCCCCTCTCCAACTGCCATGTACAGCACCGGACACAGCTTTGTGATGTCATGTTGTTCCATCGCTATGGAGACCAGGGGGGTGGGGTATAAATACCAGCACTGGGTTCCACCTGGTCAGTCTCGGCTCAACCAAGAGACTCAGCAGTGTAGAGTGTAGTGTTGGCAGTCATTGAGTTAGTAGTGAGGAGATAGGATAGGATAGCTTAGAGCATAGTATAGATATTAGTTAGATAGTAGTTTAGTTAGTACATAGATATAGATACCTTGAAAATTACATTAGGATTACATAGATAGGATAGGACATAGTGTAGGAAATAGTGTAGATAGGGAAGGCCCAAAGCGACCTCATGGGGGTGCCTGGGCCCTGGGACACTTTGTGGAGCCTTGAGGCTTAAAAATGGCTTTGCGAGGATCCAGTAGCCTGGCTAAGCTGCCCATGTTGTCCTCAGCGCCCAAACCCCAGCAGGCACAAGGCCCCTCAAACTCCACACTCGTGGTACGTGATGGGGTGTGAACAGCCAGAGCCCTCCCGCAGGCCCTGAGCACAGGATAGCTTCTGCCGGGACCAGGGCTGCTGCTGCCCATTGGCAGGCCGAGGGCTGGGGGTGGGAGCCTGGCGCCTGGGCGCTGCGCAAGAGGTGGCAGGGGGGCTTCTGCTGAGCATCTCTTCTCCTCCTCCAGCTCCCCCAGCTGCACGAAGCAGGAGGACAACAGGGGCAGCTGCTCCTACAACCTCCTCCTGGCCAGCCAAAGGCCAACTGGAGAGGAGCTCGGCTGTGGGCCCCCGTCCAGGACCTGCCGCTGTGCTCAAAATGGGAACTGGCCCAGGGCCAAAGGACGGGAGGCAGGTGAGTGGCTGTGAGTGGCTGACAGAGCCATGCCCTGTGCCTGCTTCTGGCCCCTATCTACTCCTCCGGATTGCAGACCTCCGGACACTCAGTCCCAGCAGCACACTCAGGGCTGTCCCCAGCGCTTGTTCTGTGCTCCAGGCTGAGTGCACAGGAGCTGCTCCAGGACTGTCCTGAGATTTGGGCACTGAAGCCTTCCACCTGCCTCTGGGAGAACCGGGCTTTTTGCATCTGTCAGCAAGTCGAGTGCCTGTAGGCTGGTCCAGCAGGGTCCTGCCTGCAGTGCTGCGGGCATTCACTCAGTGCAGGGTCAGTCAGAGAAAGCAAGGCTGGGAGGAGCTGATGTGGTAGCTGTTCCTGGAAAGGGCTGCCTCCAGGACTGCAGGATCCAGGCTGTGGCAGGCCATCCCTGCTGGATGCTGGGCTTCCCCAGAAACCAGACTTCCACTCCCCTCATCCCAAGAACCCTTCAACTCCTCACTTTCCCTCGAGGAAGGTGGACCAACCCCTTCGCACCGTGACCTCCCGCAGACAAGAGGGGCTGAAGTGTGAGTTAGACCTCCCAAAAGCAGTGTCTAGGCAGCTTTTAGGCAGGCAACAGGGACCAAATTTCCATCTTCCTGGGCCAGTAATGGCATGTTTTGCTGGAATTGAACACTCCAGCTCCACAGTGGCTAACTGACCATGTGGGCAAGGGAGCCCTATACGTGCCTGGCGTGCATGCCCTGTGGAAGGCTGCTTTCCCAAGCATGACCCATGCAAATGGTGCCTGTCAGAGAAGCAGGATCCAGGTGTCTGGCTCGGAGCAGAGCTGCCCTCTGCAGCTGCCCTGGACAGGCCCACCCCAAAGTCCAGGCACCCCGTGGTCAGCATGACAGGGTGCTGTAGACGCAGGGCATGTACGCTGGCAGCAGCTCCTTGAAGCGTGGGCTCTAAAACTGGCCCGTCTGCCAGGGGCTGCTACCAGCCTGCTTCTCCCGTCCCGGCCAGTGTGGGCCAGCGCAAGGAGGCCTCAGAGAAACTGCTTCTGCACCACCAGGACATCCAGAGCAACCAGGAGAAAATGAAGAAGGAGAGGTTCCTAATAACCAAGGTGCAGGGCCTGGTGGCTCAGGAGATACGGGACTGCCTGAAGCAGCTTCACCAGCAACAGCTGAGGGTATGAATGCCATTGGCAAGGGTGGCGGGGGTTCATCCTGATCATCCCTATCAGTGTGGGTGTGGCCTCACCCCACATGACACAGGGAGATGCACCGACCCAGCTGCCCGAGTGCAGGATCAGATCCCCAGCACATCCTGGGCAATCAGAACCAGAAAATGGTTTGGGTCCAGGGGCAGGGGCCTGCAGAGCATGAGTGGTGGCTGGAATGACTTGCTCTGGTCTCAGCATCGCCTGGCCTAAAGGAAAGCAGTTAAGAGTCCCGTGTGCTCATGGCACTGCACACGTGTGAAACTGAACACTGAAAGCTGTACGCAGGAGCACTGCACGTGTGTGTGTGTCAGCATGTGGAAATGCTCTGTGTGCACAGCACTGTGTGACCACTGCACACACATGATAATACTGCACATGGTTGTGTGGGGCTGCTGGGCACATATGTGCACCTGATACTGCCTGTGTGAGAATGCTGCACAGACATCAGTGACTCAGTGCATGCACGCACACATGCACACACACGCACACACACACGCGCGTGTGATAATATGACTGCTCTGCCCATGTGTGCCAGTGTGCGGAGGGGTCAGTGGCTAATGGAGCTGGGGCTGTGCTGTGGCAGGTGCAGGAAGCAGAGTTCAAGGCGCAGAAAAATGTCCTGCACAAAAAGGAACCGGAGACAGCCCGCCTGAGGACCCTGCAGCAGAGAGCCAGGGACCTCCAAGCTAAGAAGGTAATGCATACGGCTGCCTCAGCCCTCGCTCCCTCCCGGCCTCTCTGGCAGGCTGGGAACCAGCAGAAGGGGAGGACCTCACCCACACGCACCCCAGGGGAGGAGTGGGGGATGCTTCCCCCTGTGACTGCAGCAGGGCAGTCTGAGCCCACCTAGCTGGAGCCCCTGCCTGAGCAGGATGAGGGTGGGCGTGTGGCAGCCTGGGCTCAGGAGAGAAGACATTTTCTCTCCAAGGCAGCAGACAAAGCTCTGTAGCTTGCCTGGGTCCTTCCAGCACTGCCGTGGCAGCCAGCACTGCACATGGATCAGATGGGGAAGAGAGGCCTGTTAGCTCTATAGAGCCGGGAGAGGAGGCAGGCAAAGGCAGCCCGTGGGTTGGGGCTGGGTCCCCCGGGCAGCGGGCCGGGGGGAGCGGGGGCAGCGTCTGTGCCTGGCTCCTTGCTGCCTGGGCCACACAGTCAGGGCTTCCCTCCCGGCAGGACATGCTCCAGACCAAGCAGCACCAGGAGGCCAGGGAAAGGGAGAAGCAGCAGAGCCTCCTGGAGCAGATGGCCTGCAAGGAGCACCAGCAGGTCAAACAGACCAAGCGGCACTGCAGCTATTTCGAGCAGGTCATCAGGTAGGGCAAGGAGCGGCCTGGCCCTGCGGCAACAGTGGGGTCACAGGTGCTGGAGAGCTTGCCTGCGGGGGCACTGGGCTGGGCCATGTCAGGCCTGCCCTGTGCACCTCTCGGTGAGCCTGGGGGGCACGAGCTGCGGTGGAGACGACCTAGCAGGGCAGATGCAGGGCCCTGCGCCTGCGGGAGCGCAGCTCAGGCAGATGCAGGGCCCTGCGCCTGCGGGAGCGGGACAGAGCAGCCCCTGGCAGGAAGGTCATGGCCCTGCCTGTCTGCTGTGGGGAGGACAGGCACTGCCCATGCACAGGGCTGGGCTGGCCCCTGTCATGGGCGCTGGTGTCTCCCCCAGGAAGCAGCAGGAGCAGGCACTGAAGGTGCAAAGGCAGCAGGAGGAGAGGGTGGCCAAGCAAGTGGAGTACGGCAAAGCAGTGCGGTGCCTGGTGCTGGAGCGCCAGGATCAGCTGGTGCACAAGTGGGCCATCCGCTTTGAGTCTGGGAAGCACCAGCAACAGGACATGCAGAAAACCCCAGACTGCAATGGCCAGCTGAAGAGAACCAGGATGCAGGAGCTCTGGTGAGGGTTGGACCACGTGGGGGTGGACCGTGGGCGCCGATCTCAGGGTGATGCCCACCAGCATCCAGCACAACTCATGCTGTCTCTTCCTTCCCTCCCCCTTCACCACATCCTGGGGCAGGCTGAGCCCCTGAGACTTGCCAGGTGGTGCAGGAGTGGGGCTGGGGCCCAGGCTGCTGGCTGAGGGCAGGGCAGCTGTAGCAGGGCTGGGCATGGCAGTGGCTGGAGGCAGGTCACTGCTGTGTGCTGCCCAGAGCCTGCCTTCTTGCCTCCAGCTCTGAGCTTCCCTCCTGCCCTACACGCTCCCGTGTTCACCGGGGCCTGGGTCTCCCCATGGGAACGAAGCCCTCACAGAGTCCCTCCAGCTGCATCAGCCCTGCTCCCAGGAGGCTGAGGTGCCAGAAGTGTTGCTGGGCCCCTCAGGGCTGGCTCCAGGCCCTG